TACATTAAAGAAACATCTCTACATTTACTACTGGGCCTTAAAGAGTAGGAAAAAAGAGGAACATGGGATGTACTCACTCATATTTGGTTTCTAGCCATAAATAAAGGACATTGAGCCTATAATTCGGGTTCTTAGAGAAGCTAAATAAGAAAGAGAACCCAAAGAAAAACATATAGGCATCCTCCTGAATATTAACCTTTATCAGGTGATGAAAGGAGACAGAGACAGAGACCCACATTGGAGCACTGGACTGAAATCTCAAGGTCCAAATCAGGAGCATAAGGAGAGAGAGCACGAGCAAGGAACTCAGGACCTCGAGGGGTGCACCCACACACTGAGACAATGGGGATGTTCTATCGGGAACTCACCAAGGCCAGCTGGCTTGGGTCTGAAAAAGCTTGGGTTAAAACTGGTCTCTCTGAACATAGCTGACAATGAGGACTACTGAGACCTCAAGAACAATGGCAATGGGTTTTTGATCCTACTGCACCTATTGGTTTTGTGGGAGCCTAGGCAGTTTGGATGCTCACCTTACTAGACCTGGATGGAGGAGGGTGGTCCTTGGACTTCCCACAGGGTAGAGAACCCTGATTGCTCTTTGGGCTGAGGAGGGAGGGGGACTTGATTGGGGGAGAGGAAGGGGGAGGGAAAGGGGAGGCAGCGGTGGGGAAGAGACAGAAATCTTTAATAAATAAAAAAATAAGCAATAAAATAGACAAGAGAAATTTCAGAAAAATTTTAAATTAATACTGCAATGAACTAGGAGATAACAGAAATGTTTTAAATGTTATTGCAAACGAATGCTCTTATCCTCAACTGAGAATCTATTTAAGATTTGCTTGACTAGTTTTAATTATGTGGTGTGGGGCCCAGGGATCTGTACATGGGTCTGTGCTTGCAAGTGCTGGAGCTCACAGAAGCACCAGATCTCCCAGAAGCTGAAGTTAGAGGTGTCTGTGGGACACCCAAAATGGGTGCTGAGAACCCAACTTGGTCCTCTGCAAAAGCAGTACATGCTCTTAACCACTGAGCCACCTTTCAAGTCCCTAGAACATATGCATTTATAATATGCACAATATATAATAAATGTAATTATTATATATTTAAAGTCTGAATACTATTAATTAAAACTCAATAAGTCTTTGGCTAGAATATAGCTCAGTGGTTCAACCTAACATGCACGAAGCTATGAAATTAATTCATAATATTATAAGTAAAAATATTTTTTGAAGTAAGCCTAAAGCTGCATTCAAAGGAAAATTCATAGTAGTAAATATTTTGTTTGTAAGGGGAAAGGGAAAAGCACATAACAACTCAAGCCTGTACTTCAAGAAAGTGGAAAAGAGGGATAACAATTTCAAACATAAAGAAAATAGAGCACAAAGATGTTCAAGTAGAAACAAGTCTAGAAGCTCGTTGTTTGACCCCAAAAGCCAAGGACAGACCTTCACAAAGTTTATATGAGAAGAAAGAATTCATTGTTATATTTTGAAATTTTTTAGTATATTTTCTCTTCTGTCTTTAAAGCCTAGCTTTCTTCACGTCAATTGGAAATATCCTGTGGAGACAAGAAGAACCTGAGGAGTTTTTACTGAAGGGAGCCAGACAACAGATCTTGCCGCAGTTTCCAGAGAATTGTCCAGGTGGCGCTCATTCACCTCATGGAAAGACATTTCCCAGCCCCTCCCTCTACTTCCCATAACTTACCATTAAAGCTTATGCTTTATCAAGGCTGAATTTGCATTGGGGCAAAAAGGGCAGGCATGGGTTCTGGACTAATGAGAGAAAGGTTGGACTACGGTTACGACAATACCAGGGTAAGTTCAAGGTAACAATGACAGAAGAGGGTTGCCACCTTCCCCAGTTTTGGCTATGGTGCTAGCTCGCTGGAACTGAGTGACAGAAGCCAAGGTTCCAATGACAGACTAAAATACAGCTGAAAGAAAATCTTCAACAGATGCTGGAGAGACAGCATCAGGAGGCTCTCCGGATGCTGAGCCTCCAGCAAGGGGAATGCCAAAAGAGAAAGAAGGGGCCACAAGCTATTATTATATAACTGTCACTGACAGCAAGAAGGACACCAAGTAGTAGAAAAGGGACTGGGTGATGGATCATCAAACAGAAAAAGGGCATTACTTTGGAAGTAGAGGAGTTAAGGCGTATCATGCTCCTGAACTCCAGCCTCTATGGCCCCTGCCCTGTCTCTAGATATCATCTTATAGTGACCAGCAATGGTAAAAATCACTGCGACAGGGTCTAGCAAGCGCGAGCATGGCAAACACAGCTCTGCAAGGCCTTGCCCTTCCCCTCTTTCCTCTTGTTCAAAACCATTAGGTTACATTTTTACAGCTAGTCACAAAGGTCAACTCCCTCATGTGGCTACTTACTTCTCCTGAGGCTGACTACCAAGGTCCAGTTATCAAAATACTGAAGTCCAGCAATCAAAAGCCCCCATTTGGATGCCCTAATTAACCTATCCCATCCAAATTAAATACCTCATCCTAGCATGGGGTTTTCGTTTTCAACTTTATAAACCACCATTTTCCTAAGGGCCATAACTGTCTCCTCTCTATCCAGAGGCAGCGTTTTGTACCAGAGGGACAAATAGCCCTTCCCCTTCTTCTCCCTCTTCCTGTATCTCCTGTCTTTGACTCTTGTTCCCTGCCCTTTGTCTCTGTGGGGTAAATACATCTCCTTTGTGTTAAGAACGTAGTCTTGAGGTGCCTTGTGTCAATATTGGTCCTTTCATGCCGAGGATGTATTTCAAGAGAGAACAGACAACATAACAATGAGATACTTAAATTGTAATAAGCACGCATGTGCGTGCGCGCATGCACACACACACACACACACACACACACACACACACACACCACTTTGCCCAGCCTAGCACCTCTAGAAAACACACACAGCAGTGAGTTTGAGGATGGGCTTTTTTCTCTATGTGGCCTGGGTTTGACTGCACAACTCTATGACATCAGGAAATTAATCTGTATGTTTCAATTTCTTAATCTATAAAAGGAGGATCACCATTTCTTTTAGCATTTTGAAGGCATAGATGAGTTAATGAATATAAAATGCTTAGGTCAGTGTCTGCTGTACAAGATGCATTCATGGCATATTGGCTAGTCTTATTATTGCTAACATCAGTAATAAGGAAGAACCGACCAGCCACCGAGAAATGAAGAAATAGCAATTTCTCTATATAGCCAAGCAGTAGTGAATTGAAAGTTGCTTCCCCGCTCCATGAATAATAAAAATCATGAATGAGAAAGATATAAAATAGATCAAAGGACAAAGAGGCATTTTACAAACACAGCAGTCTGGCTTAAATGAAAGAATCTTAATAAAATGGACCACATTCAATAAAAATATGAATTACCTATATTAGTTCAAGAAGTATGCCAAATAGAAGAGAAGGATGCCAAAGAAATAAAAATCCATCCGTGGCCTCAGGAAAAACCAGGGCCCGGACAACTGCAGGAGCACATACATGCTTTTGAACTTTTCAAAGGGAAGACCCGGCACAAGCAGTAGCTGAATGACTTGCAGACTGAAGGCCTGCCCCACCTCAGTTCATAGGGAAAGTTTCACCTTCTACGTGAATAAAGTTGACCAAAATCGAGCTCCATAGCAGTGTTTTTCTCAAGTTTCATTACTCCAGGATTTCTGTGCCCCTAACAGACTATGGATTCAAGTCAAGTGTCTACGGCAGGCTGTAATAGTTCCTCCTCACCAGAGAGTTTCTTTTAGGTACTTCCAGATCTATTTGAGGATCAGGCCCAGAGCCTTGAGGGAAGGCATGCCCACTCAAGCAATCAGAAGATTAAGGGACCCAAAAGCCAAGAATACACAAGAGGACGAGGAGGAAAAGCGACAGAAAGAGAAAAGGGGAAGGTATACAAAATTGCCACCGTAATAGCAAAGCAGAGCAGGGCACAGCCCGTTCTGCTCGTGGACGCAGAATTTGATTCAGACTTTCTAGGAAGCAACTGGAAAGAAACGTGATGTGGACCGACAAATGCACGTTCACTCTGCCCCAGTGATCTACCTTTATGTCTGTCCTCAGGAAACGAGTCTGAAGTGAAGATTAAGATTTACATACAAGGATGGATTGAATAGACTGTCTCCTAGCAAACAAAACAACGTGAAACTAGGGAAGCCTTTAGGTGAGTAAAGACGAAAGTTTTTAAGTCGACTACAGAGTATTAATCCGGTGAATAGTAATAAGCAGCATTGGGTGGGGGGTGGCTGGGGCAGCAAAATCGTGTCTGGGTCTATGATCCTTTGAGGCAAAGAACGAGGCACAAATTGCAAAGCACTATCTCACACGTACTTTTTATATGTAGGAAGTAGACACCATAGGAGCAAAGAATAAACCACTTCCAACCTGAAAATATCTGAAATATTCATTTCTTTTATATATTTCCCCTATGCCTTTCTGCATGAAGTTGTACTATTTCTATAGCCATAAAAATTAAGTATCCAATAATTACTGTACATAAAATATATTTATACAATAAGGAAAAAAATTAAGTCCTCATTTGCCCTGGACAAACACATTCACAACACACAGGTAAACTGCATTTCTCCAAGCCTGAACCTCAACATAGATGCATTTTAAAGCTCAGAAAACATCACACCAACCAAACCTCTCAGTGAAGACAGGCAAGTGATTTCTCTGGGGTTTCCCACACACCATTATCTGCGGAATTCAGCACCCAGCTTTTAAAGTATGGCTGTTTTTTAGTGTCTTGGTTGAAAGAATCCTGACACGGAGGGATGGGTTTTCAAAGATTGACGTGCATGGAGTTCTCTCTCTCTCTCTCTCTCTCTCTCTCTCTCTCTCTCTCTCTCTCTCACACACACACACACACACACACACACACACACACACCTCAGGAGTGTGGTCCCAGGCAGACCACTCAAGCGAATCCCACTGATGTAGCCCTGCCCAGTCCTTGCTCCCCCCGCCCCTAAGCCCCTAAGAGCCCTGATACCTGTTCCTGGTGTGAGGTACTGAGGTGACCGGGCTCCTGAGCGTCCTCAGCGTTACCGAGGTGCCTGGGGTGGTCTCTCTGCTTTTCTCCACCGACAGCCTGCACAGTCAGTGAGAAAACTAAGTTATTACACCGCCTTGGGAGCCACTGACTGGCAGGTTGGACATTGTGCTCCAAACATAACCATGGCTCAAAGCACCCGAACTCCTGGGATGGATCCCCAATCTTGGAGTTAGGAAGGAAAAAAAAAACCTTAAGACAAGAAAACAGGGAGCAAAATGGGGGAGTCCTACAGCCTGGCGGGAAACCTCGACGACGGCAGGTTCCGCTCCACAGTTCCCTCGCCCACAGAGACGCTGTCTGAAGCCCTCCCAACCCGGACGAATCCCTTTCCACTTCACATCATGACATCCAGCTAACTGTCTTTTTTCAGGCCCCCGAACCCTACCCCACCCTCAAGGAGCCTTTTGGCCAAAAGTCTGCGAGCGAGCAGCCAGTCACACAAATCTGAGCCAGGGCTCCCCGGGAAGCAGAGCCCAGCGCGGCGCGGCGTGGGTGTGCGGGACCTTGCAGGTGGGGAGAGCTGATGCCGGGGAATTACCTGGAGCGGGCGGGCGTGTCCGGCGGGCGCCAGAGCGGACGCAGCAGGAGCAACAGCATCAGACTGGCTACCAAGGCGAGCAGCGTGCAGCCTGGTCTCATCTTGAGCCACTGGCGCCCTCGCAGCCAAAGCTGCTTGGGCGAAGCGCAGCGCGGGCGGCATCGACTCGCCGCTCCGGCCGCTGCGGCCGCCGCCGCCGCCACCGCGGCCGCTGCCACGCACACCCCCAGCGTTCAAAGGCGGTGGCGCGGGCCCGTACTCTCGGGGACTGCCCCGAGCCCAGCCTGCAACAGGGTTGCCGAGCACTGAGCCGAGGAAGCAGCGCCCCGGCTCGTTCACTTCTTCCAAGCCAGCCACTGGCCGCCGAAGCTCGCGATCGGCTAAGCCGATGACGATCCTCCGAGCTCGCCGCCTGTCCTCCCGGAGGCGCTCCCAGGCGCTGCGGGCTCTGGTCGCTGCAGCCGCTGCTGCTTCTGCCTCCTGCCGCCGCCGCCACCACCACCGCCGCGCGGGGTCACCTGAAGGTTGGGGCACGAGCTCTCAACTCTGCGCTGATTGGGCTCCAACTTTTCGGCGCTCTCACCTTCGCCTGAGTGCGCCCATAGCTCTTCGGAAGCCCAACGCGACCTGCCCAATTACACCGAGACTCTGCTGCGTTGCTGGGGCCCCCCAGTTAGGACCTAGAGGGCTGAAGAAAAGAGTAGAAAAAACCTGCTTCAAAAAGTTTGCAAACGGAGCAGCTAGGCTGGATCCTCCCACGTGCCTGGAAGCTACCAGGGACGTGGTGGTGTTTGAATAGACCTTGGCATAGCATGAGGGCAATCACCTTCTGTCGATGAAATGCGGATTCAGGGTAACAGCTGACACCAGTTACCAGGAAATCCGCTTACCTTTGCCCAGATCCACACCTGCCTGCTTTCTAAAAGCTTTTTTATTGGACATCTTCGGGTTCAGTATTTTGTATTATCGATGACCATGAGATTGTGTAGCACTATAAAGGCAGAATTGAATAGTGATGACAGAGAACCTATAGCTCTCAATATCTGAAATATTTACCACCCTACGAATTTCCAGAAAAACGGATTTGCCTACCGCCAATGTGGACAATCTCTGCATTTTGAATTCTTGCCTAACCCAGAACCCAAACTGAAAATATAATTAATATTAGCTTTTCAAGCCAATAACGGGGAAAATACATCAACCAGTAAGGCAGCCAACCCATCACACCATGAAAATAAGTCAATTATAAATGTAACCAATCAGATGTGCCTGCTCTACTAAGACCCTTTGTGCTTGCCGCCCAAAAGCTTGCCTGCTGGGCAAGTGGTCCTGGGGCTCTTCTGTTTCAGAATGCTACCAAATTCATGAATCCTTCTTATTTCAAGTAAATCGCTGAAATTAATTTGTATAAAGTATTTCTTTTCTCATTGTCACAGGTTGATAGGCAGTTTGTGTGTTGACACTCCAGTCTCCAGTGCGGTTGGATCCAAAGGGTGGTTCTCTCAAAATGGGAGCAGTAGGAGAGCCTTCTCAGAAGAAACGTGAGGCAGGAGAGACGGCTCACTGAGCACCTGAGCTGGATGGCCAAATCCATACAAAAGTAGGGGTACACCTGCAACCCTAATGCAGAAAGACAGACCCTAGACTTCACTGACCAGTGTCTAGCTGCACTGGCTAGCTCAGAGCCCCGGGGGAAGCCCCTTGTCAAATAATAAGGTGGAGGGTGATAGAGGAAGACATTCAACACCAACGTCTGGCTTCTGTACCTGAAAACACAGAGAGAGAGAGAGAGAGAGAGAGAGAGAGAGAGAGAGAGAGAGAGAGAGAGAGAGAGAGAGAGAGATTTCCTAGTTCCCTTGTGCTAATATGTATCTACTGTAAAATACTATGTTACAATCTAATCAGAGGTGTGCACAGAGTAGCTGGTCAGTTAATAGCAGTAAATGGCTGATAAATAAAACCACTGTGCAACTAATGTTGTTCTTTTTTTTTTGTTTTGAGATTTTTGTTGTTGTTGTTTGTTTGGTTTTTTTGAGACAGGGTTTCTCAGTGTAAAAAGCATCATAAAGCTGAAAAAAAATGTGACTAATGATGCGATTTCCTTCCACAGCTCACCACTATTATTAAAATACATACGATTTCCTTATACAGCTCAACGCTGCCATTAAAAAAAAAAGACATATTAATCAAGGAAGAAAAAGTTAGGGCTTTTACACAACACTGACATTTTTAGGGATTCAGTTGCTTACCCTGCATATGATGTCAAGGTATGCTCCATTCTGACAATGCTAAAATGATGGGGTGGGGCTGGTGAGATGGCTCCATGGATAAAGGCACTCGCTGTGAAAATCTAACAACCTGGGTTTGATCCCTTAACCCCTTAGTGGAAGGAGACAACCATCTCCCAGGATGTCCCCTGACCTTCATACATGAGTGTGGCTCACGTGTCTACATTCAGGCAAACCACATCCTGTGTATATACATACACACATTATAACAGTAAAATACAAATTTTGAAGAATAACGTTCAAGCAGTGTAAAATGAAATGGTGATACAGTTCTACAGAGTTAAAGGTTTATTCCGTCTTGTAAGCACACCGGGGCGGCACAAATATCCTTGACAGTGGAGGGGCTGCCTGGCTTTGGAAGATATCCTGAACTGTATTTCTGTGCAGACAAGTCACACTAACAATGATCTGCAGAAAAAGAAAAGTGTGTTCGGATATCAGCCAGGAAGCTGCAATTCCACCTGATTTACTAAAGTTGAATATTTCAGCACAGTTGGGCTCAAGGCAACGGTAAGAATCGTCCTTGCACTGGGTTCCCCAAACACCCTTGCTGCAAATTCGTGTCATGCCAATGGCTCAGTCAGGGGACTGACAAAGCCCATTTTAATTGGGACACCAAGTGTGAATTTGCAATGGGAATTCAGAGCTGAGCCTTAAAATTCGACAGTGGAGAACTTTACCATAGGGTTTGTCATTTAAGCCTTGGCTGGTAAGATGGGAATTATCTTGCTCATCCTTGAGAGACAAGGAAGTGGAAAACAGAAAGTTTTATATATTACGTGTCAGTTGAAAACCGACACCAAAAAAAGCTATGAACTTTCTGCTTATAGGTTTGACCAGAGATCTCTGCCAGGTAAGCTTCGGGATGTGCTAAGACCATATCTGGCCGCAAATTCAAGCCCCTATGCCGAGCTAGTGTGTGAACAGAGAGAACTCAGCAAATCTGCCTCTTGTGGAGTCCAGGTAGCACCTTCTGAAGTTTCCCCGTTTATTGCAAGTGAACCAGGGACATGTAGAAAGTGGCAGAAGCAAAGACAGTTCATTAAGAAAGAGATTATTTTGACGACCAGAGAACAGGAAAGACTGGAAGTTCTGGGTGACAGAGTTGTGTTCTTTTATGGGTCATTTGCACAGTACCTGCTTTCTCCTGTGTTGAAATAGGAGCGGCAGGGCTGCGTCCCCGGCACCCGGCCGCCCGCATGGCTAGCTTATACCCAGAAATAATTACACGGAAACTGTATTCTTTCAAACACTGCCTGGCCCGGCTAGGTCCAGTTTCTTATTGGCTAGCTCTTACATATTGTTCTAACCCATTTCTAATATTCTGTGTAGCCCATGAGCTGGCTTACCAGAGAGGATCTTAACCTGCATCTGTCTGGAGTGGGAGCATCATGGCGACTCCTCCTCTAACCTTCTTTCTCCCAGAATTCTCTTCTGTATACTCCGCCTACCTAATTTTCTATCCAATAAAATGGGCCAAGGCAGTTTCTTTATTAGTAAGAAATCATTCCCACATCATTTCCCCTTTTTCCGTTTAAACAAAAAAGAAAGGCTTTAACTTTAGCATAGTAAAATTACATATAACAAAACAGTTATCAAGTAAGAATTACAGTTACAATATTTATATCTATTTTATCTCTTATCATAACTAAGGAAAACTATAACTATTTATTCTTCAACTCCATCAAAGACTCCAGAAGGATATAATATTATCTAAGTAAACAAGAAATAAGAAAACTCTAGAAATGACAGAGACATCTCGCTGCCTGGACAGTCACCCAAAGTTCCTCTGTACCGTTGGGGCATCCATCTTCGGCCTACAGGCCCATGGTATCCAGATACATTTCCATGAAGCAGGAAATTTTAAAGACAGTTCAGTCACTTTCTGCTGTGTTCTGTAGAATGTCTTGTAGACTCTTTCATGAATCAGGAACCCCGAAAGACCATCTCACCTTTAGGCAAGTTCAGCAGTCCTCTCTCTGAGGGTTCTCTGTGTCCAGTTTATGCAACAGTCCAGGCAAGAGCAGTTTCTTGCCCAAATGACTATCCAACTCCATAAGGATCCTCTTCGATGCCCATCTTCCTCTTGAAGTAGCTGGTGCTGCCAGGAGCAGACGTGTCTCCTTGTCATGAAAAGTCCTAAGTTATTAAAATATTTTAAATGCCATATTCTGCAGTCTTTGAAAGATATGAAGAATGCCTATCTAATTGAAATATATCTCTATATATCTAGAAAATCTAACTAACATGACTACAAGCTTAACTATTAGCAATGATTATCCATTAACAACCTATATTTCCTAATTATACATTACATTTTAAGTGAACTACATAATCACAATACCTTAATCAAGTTCAAAAATACATATACATATAACAAAATTGACCTTAAAATCCATACCAATGCAAATTATTCATATCTATATCATATCCCCCTTTAAATGTAAAAGAACATTTATAAACAATATTTGGGAACATGGGCGTAGTTTTTTCTCTCCAAACTGCTTCCTGCTGAATGGGGGCACTGTTAATCAGATCATTTAGGGTGTAACCTGTGTGTCAGGTTCATCTCGGTTGGCAGTTGAGTGAAGTAATTTTTTGAGGGTGTTCACAGCAACCTTTCAGGAGGGCGTGGTCTATCATACCATACCGGGATAGATGCAATCCATAGGGTCACATCCTCTGTGGAAACAAAAGAAGACCCTCTCCAAAGCATCATATCCTTAGATCCAAATTTTGAAGTCAAGATACCTTTAGAACATATGTGCAGGTTCAGCTTAGCAGCCCATATAATAAAATGTCTCTTTGTACTTAGCTCCTTCACAGTCAAAAATTTTAAAGAAAACACAATGTACATAATCCAGACTCTCTGTGAATTTTTCATTTTTACGTGGCTTATTTTTCTTTATTTCTCTTAATCTATAACT